CTGTGCTGCTGAGACCTTGGCCACCTGCAGTATTTTCTCCATGGCCAAGTAACTCTGCTGCGAGGGTGGTGGACCAATGCAATATGCTTCATCTGCCTGTTTGACAAAAAACACATACAACAGAGACTGTTTACTAGCAAATTTAAATGAATTTCTGAGCTAAGTATATCACTTATCAGACTGCAGTTTAAATCACTGCCTGTCCTCATGGAGAGGCTAAACTAGGTGAAACAAATTCTGACTTTTTCTCCAAAATCACAATCCATTCTCTAATCCCTGGCTGTCCAGAGTCAGAGAGCCAAACTTGAATGCACGTCCTGTAAAGCTGTCAGGTGTTGAGACAGAAACCAGGCAAACTTTCCATCCATTCAAGGAAAACTTGGCAGGTCTACAGAAGTGAAAATCAACTTTGCATCAGAACCCAAATCTGCTTTCCCATGGAACTTATCAATGAAAAATACTGTCACAAATGAATATCAGCCAAATTTAATTAATATACTTCACCATTGCAACATGCATGGAATTCCTGTCTGCTTCACTATAAACTGCTACAGACTTCACCCCCATTTTCTTGGCTGTTCGCATCACCCTGCAGGCGATTTCTCCTCGGTTTGCAATAAGGATCTTCCCAATGCTGTGACCTCCTGTTTGAAGGGATGAAGCACAGTAAGCAACCAAGCCACAAAAACATCCCTGCAAACAAAGCAACTTTAAATTTCTAGTTTATTTTACATTATTTATAAAGTTTATCCATTTCTGCAATAATGAAAAAAAAGCATGCTTCACACAAAAGCATTTCCAAGCTGCTCTTTGAATTTTTAACTCAGAATCCTTATGCAGAAGTATGCTTAAGCCATTTTTTTTTCTTTTTTAGAATTCAATAAATATATCCTAACCCTAAAAAAGCCCACTTCTACATAACAGCTGATGCTCATAGCTGTGCTGTGTACCTTCTGGACTGAATATTTATTAAAAAAAAACTGCAGTCTTTCAGCAACTAATACTCTAAAAATATCCACTGTGCCTAACAATTTAAGCTAGTAGCTAAAGAAGTGCAACTTCATACCTATCGTTGAGGCCCATTTCACAAATACTCGAACTTGGTTCCATTGCCTGTGCAATTACAAAGGGACAGAAGTGTTACAAGTGCATATGAAGTGGCAACTAAGCTAATTTTATTTTCAGGTGAGAGAAAGACATCACTGAAACTTCTGATACATCTATCAACACAGAACATATTCGGGTGTAACAAGGGAAGTTGCTCTCCCTAAGTACTTTCACTTGGACACAATAAAAATTATCCCTGTGCTTTTTCAGTAGCATTCAAACAGAAATAATCAATGAGTTTTCTTATAACAGACAAGCATAAAACCTTTTTTTGGTGGACAGAACAGCCAACAGCTCACATTTATTTTTTACAGAGAGGCCAACTCATTAGTATTTGGGAAGACATGAGCAACCATAAAATAAAAAAAGCTTTAAAAGGCAACAGGAGCTGCTTTTGTAGAGCAAAGGTGCAAGAGAAAAGAATGTGGAAGAGCAAGGGCGAGCTATAGTGAATTTTAGAAATGGAAAGTTAAGCGTCAAATGATTAATGCTAACTAAATGAGATAACGGCAGTGAAGTCACTGGACAGAGATACGAAAGCAAACTCCTGGAACTGTTTTAATTAGCATGTAAAACAACGCCGGAATTTTGGATCAGCTCCAGCGTTCTTTAAGCGTTATCGGACAAAAAGACACGGGACGTCCTCGGCAGCACAGACCAGAGCTCGGCTGCACCACGGGAGGAGGAACCGGGGCACGTCCCGAACACCGAACGCAGCGGCCCCGGCCACGCTCCCGCGACAGGCTGCGGGCCGGCCCCGGCCCCGGGGCAGCGCCAAGGCGATTCCCAAGGCCCGGGAGGGTGTCCGTGCTCCTCCTCCCCACAGGGCAGCCCAGCCTTCCCGCGTGTCCCGCACAGCCCCCTCCCCTCCTGCTCGCTGCGGGCAGCTCCCCCGGCTCCCCGCCCCACGGCCGCCCCGGGCCGCTCGGGCTCCCCCGGCCCGCACTCACAGCCGGCGCAGCGCCCCGAGGCAGCCGCGGCCCCGCTCGGCCGCAGCCAGCGCCATGTTGGGCGCGGGAGCGGGGAAAGCCCTCACGGCGGGGAGCGCGTCACGGGGAGGGGCCGGGCACGGCCGGGCCGCTCGGCGGAGCGGGGAAATGGGGGAATGGGGGAACGGCTGGCGGGGGCGGGGCTGGGCGGCGCCGAGTAGCGGCGCTGGGAGGGCAGAGGGAATAAATTTCATTTAAATGTGAAACTGCGTGCTGCTGAAGCGCTGTCGGCCCTATGGGTGCACGGACTCAGCTGAGCGAGCTCCTTCAGGAATGATATCCGGGGTTGTAATAGGAGAGCGACACGCAAAAGTGAGGGTTGTTGGGAGGGCGTGGGCATCGTGGGGTAACACAACATCATCCCCGGAGCCGGCATCGAACCGCAGAGCGGGAGCATCGGAAGCCGGCAGCGTCCATTGCGCTCCCTCAGGCTTCGGAGCTTCGCAGATCACAAAGCCATGGAAGATTTTTACACCCTCCAGTAGCCCAGGTTGCTGCCAACCCCATCCAGCCTGGCCTTGGGTACTTCCAGGGATGGGCATCCACATCCCTGTGCCAGGGCCTCACCCCCTCATAGGGAAGAATTTCTTCCCAGCATCTCTCAGTTTAAGGCCCAGCCCAGCCCAGTGTGGGGCCTTGCTAAACCTGCCCAGCCCCAGCACAGTCAAAATAAGTATTTCCAGTTGTTTACAAAAAGCAAAGCCTCCATGCTTTTTCACAATAGGAATACACAATCTATCAATTGCAATAGTGGCAGTGTTTAATGTCTTAAGTTTTCTCCACTAACAGCATCTTCACGATGTAGACAATCTCTGCTTGCTCCACTCCTGCTATTTTTATTCTGCCATGGTGACCCCTCACACCAGTGACTGGAAGGTTCAAGTAGGTTAAATAGATACCAGATCAGATTGGGAAAATCATCCCTTGGACCTGACTGCAAGAGGGATCAGCACTCGCTCTAAGGATGAGATTTTAAAAACTAAATTCCACTTCTCTGTAATCCCTACACTCCAATCTTCATCATAAAACGCTGACAGTGTAGATCTTACTTTTGCATTTCATAATCCAGATTTTTAAAAGGTCGTGTTTAATTTGTCTCTAAACACAAGATGGCAGCATTTTATGTAGTTTAACTGTTGCGTATTGGGGAGAGCTACAGATATTTTATAGTACATAAATCAGAGGTGGTGGAGGAGGCTTTTAGCAATAGAACTAATGGAAGTGGCAAACTCATTTACATTGCAAATCTGCTCTTGGTGGAGGCATCCTGCCAGCAGGGTTTTTAGGGCTTGCAAAGTTAAGAGGGACCACCAGACTATATAGGCAGATGTTTGAAAGTACAGTGTAATAAAGCTTAAAAGTGGAAATAATAATTTCCTCAGTGACACCACTAATACATTTGTCAGAAGCACTCAGGTGAACCTACCAATGTAGTAGATAGGTTGGATTGGCAACAGTTTTAAGAAAAAAACTATTGTGGAAGCTGGGCATATATTGAAAGATGCTTTGATTAATAATTTGAGTCATTTTCTCATTAGAATTTTTCCATTAGCAGGTTGTGAAAAATGTAATATGAAATATTAATTCATTTTCCTTCACCTGATGACAAAAAAACCACTCCTTGGTAAAATGAGGTTAAACATTGTCTGGACTCATGATTCATAGTCTTCAAACATTTTTGTGATACAGGAAACCCTCAGTAAAACTGAGGTTCAAAACCAAGATCTGTGTCTCTAATAAACACAGATATCCTGACTAAGATTGAGCACTTTCCTTTTTCCCAACAGCCATTTATTATGTTTCTGCATGTTGGAAATACACTTGTTCCAATCTAAAATTGTGAAGAAAGAGCTAAGTAAGAATCAAAATCAGCTGGTTTATAATTTAATAAACTACTTGAGATCTACCACTTCCATAGGCAGTAAGACTCACAGAAAAAGAGAAACATATGTTTTGTGACGTTTTGTGGCTAGCTAGGAAAGCCCAGATGCTGATGAAGCCCAGCAGTGTTATGTTGCTGTGGCAGATAAACTTCAGACCCACATCCCCCTGCTTTGTTGCCATTCAATGGCCACAGTGCTGAACGTGAGGAAAAAAGGCGTAGTGTGCAAGTCTTGTCACCTTAGTCACAAAGGGTTAACTCCACAGGAATCTTTCTCTTCTCAGGCTTATTTTGCTCAAATTGATGCTTAAAAAATACACCTCCTTTTTCCTTCTAAATATTCTGATGCAAAGGTTTCTTCAGTGAATTCCAAACCTCTGTGCCTCTGGGACAGTCCAGGGTGTGACTCATAGAGAGGGACTTTTTGCCTTTAAGTAAAATAGTTGACTTTTCCTCCAAATGCCACTAAACCTTGTCAAGGAAGAATTTTGAAACACCAGCAGCCTTTGAGGGCCTACTTCACATACACAAGTGTGTATTTACCAGCCCAGCTTTTAAAACATCAGGAAGTAAGGAATCTTGCCACTAAATAGGTGCAAGCTAGCAAATTTAACATTGTACCAGGCCAAGCAAGTGCCAAAGGGCAGAACAAACTGCTCCTGCTCTCCAGGCAGCCCTGCTTTTCTTCTGAAGGACAAATCAAGGTGCTTGCAAAGTTTTCACCTTGTGACATTAAATAACCCATCATCTAGGGATACGTCCTGACACCAGAAATGAAGTTAAGCATAATTCTGGTATTTTATCCCTGAGGGAAGTTACAGCCTCACTGCTGCCCTCATTGGCACTTCTCATACAGCCAAGTTCCTCAATCAGCTGCTGGCAGCACAGAGATTGTCTTTTCTCCCCCATCTTTACCACATCTTCTGCTTTCCTACAGTCCATCTAACAACCTTTGCTTCATGAAGAGCACAACTTGTGAGACTCACTCAGCCATTTTAGAGATAAAATCATCACACACTCTAATGATTAAATATAGCCTTTATTGTATAGAAACACCAACAATAGAAAAATAAAGAGTATATCTTACTTCTCATAGCAAGTTATTTTTAGCAGCCATACATTATAGAAAGCTAGAAGTGATCAGCCAAGCCATACTTAGATACTCAAGATGCCAAACTAATCTCCCTTCCTCTTTCAACTGAACTAACAGCTGTTTCTTAATTTGTGCTTGTCCATTTTGCTTCTCAGCTGTCAGAGAACAGAAAAGACTGAAAGAAATTAAACCCTGCTTTTTATACTCCTCAGTTGCTTGTCTAAGCATGACATCGTTATTTCTGGGATACCCTCATTCTGTCGTGGGTGTGCAGAGAGCACAGGGGATGGTCTGACATGGGAGCTGCAGCAGAGCCCCAGGGAGCCAACGGGATGTGGGGATGCGCTCACCTCCTAATCCCTGTGATGGCCCCACAGCCCCTGACCAGCACACGCTTGTGCAGAAGTTAAGCTTCACTTCCCTGGTGGATTCATCACATCATCAGTGCATCACATCACCCTGATCAGCCCCTTCTGGTTCAGGGCTGGGTTGGTCTGAGCCTGCAGCTGGGGGAAGAAGTGAGCTGGAGTTGCTGATTCACTCTGGGATCCAGCTGCAGCCTTGTCTTCTCCCACAGCAGACAAAACTGCCCCGGTGCCCCAGGTATGGCCATTATAGCCCACCTAGTGTGCAAGCAGTTTACCAAATATCCTCCTTTTATATGGTGTTCTTTTAGGGACTTTTTGATTAAGATACTTCCTCAAACAAGATGTTTAAAAAACCAAGCCTGGCAACACCAAGAGGAGTTACCCCTATAGTCTTCCCAGTAGGAGGGAGACCTCAAAGCCACTCCATTAGATAAAAAAGTGCCAGCTAAATATATTCCTATATTCTGGCAGAAAATAAACACGAACATCAGCTTTTAGAGCTGCACATGGCAGCTGAGGGAGCAGCTGGGCTGTCTGATTCTAATTCAGCATTAAATCTGGAGAGGCAATACTCCCTGCTATGCTGACACATCCCTGCTGCAGGCTGGTTGGGTTTTGGGATCAGGGATGGAGGTGACAGGATGCAGGCTGAGTCACAGCTGGGAGAAAGGTTGCACTTCAAGGCTGGGATCTGCTGATGCAGTGAGGATTTCTCCAATGGATGCTCTACTGCTGTAAAGCACTAACTCCATTGGATTAATTTTGCTGCATGCTGGCAGCATTTCCTGGGAACATCCAATCGTTTCATTGGTTTGCACCATGTGCGCTTCACCAGTGCCAGTTACAGCAAGCCCAGAGCATCATTCATGTACAAATGGCAGAATGCAGCTTCATAAAAATAGCAAACAAAAAATAGCAATAAAAAGCATAAGAACAAATAAGATAAATCTGAATCCAAATATTGTTCAATACCAACACGTTGATTCACTGTAGAAAGCAAAAAAAAAAAAAAACTATGAAGGAAAACATTATTCAGGCATCACTAGTGAAAATGCCAGGTGTCACAATATTAACCACAGAAATAGCAGTCATTAGTAACTCTTTTCTGTCCTCATGCTGATATCAGACTTTTTTAAAAGACTGAATATTAACATAAAGCAATTTTTCAGAACAGGACAAGCAAATGCTATATCCATGTCAGTAGAAGTAACACAGATTACACAACCCAACACATGAAATGGGACTCAGCTTTGACAAGGGAAAGATGTCTATTGATCCCTGAGCAGAACAGCTTAGGGCCAGACCATGTGCTGAGCTTTTTAGGCAGCTTTTGTTAAAATGTTCTCATGTAACAGACTGGGACAGTGACATCCCTACTGCAGGCACAGGCTCATTTTCAAATGGAAGCTCTTCATCCATTTACCTTTCCTTCCATACATGTCATTTTATTTTAAAAAGGTGAATGCTTTAATTGAGTATAAAAATCTGCTTTCTAAACAACAGATTCATAGTACTAAGTAACCCTGAGAATTAGAGGGATCTTATTAGGTCCAAGGTCTGAGTGCAGTGGCTGATTGTCTGCTAAGGGGAGGTGGGGGAATGGAAAATGAGCTCAATAAAGCTCACTAAGCATTATGAACAGTGCTGGAGCCCTTTGCAAAAGAATAATTGAAATACTTACATTTTAATTTGAGTATTCGGCTGAATACAGTCCAAGTCATGGTGCCTGTATTCAAAGCTTGAAAGTCTGGTGTCTTATTTCTTGTGCTGTTTTACCTTATAAATGTATTCAGCTGTTCCTGAGCTCACAGCTGGTTCTGATGTTTCTCCAAGTGTAAAAGTGCTTCAAAATTATCTTTATCTTTCTTATTTATTGATTCATTCAGACTCAAAGGGAACATTTCTAGAGAATGTTAATTACTTCCACAGCTACATATTATACTATACTTGTCTATACTGATTATAGACAAGTATGGTCATGTTTCCTGCTTCACACAGATCAACATCTCTAATTAATTCATAGAATGGAAGAATTTATTTTCTTTCTTCATTTAAATAAGTAAACTTGCAATAATGAAATACTAGTAAAATATCATAAGTATTTTTAAAATACTTAAGAGAATATCTAACATGATATGACCATCAATTTTATCCAGTTAAAATCCAGTGAGGTTTCATCACCATTAATAACTGGACAGGATTTGGACCATTATTCATAGAAATTAAATTAACTCCCAGCATTTCCTTTTTGTTTAGATACAAATTAAACTGTCAAGGCATTTTTGTCTATGGCTTCAGTCTTTCTTTTGTTTAATGAGTGCCATTCCACAGTCCTTTCCCAGGCCAAACTTTTATTAGTAAAATTTAAGCCATTAGTCTAACTCCTTGGAGGAAATGTGCTCTTATTGAATATAATTTTCTCTTTTGCAAATGCTTTTGTACATAATTTCTTATCATTTTGATGTCATTTGCTTCAGTGAGCAGATTGTGTGGCATGGGCACATGTGTGTGTGTGTGTATGTGCACATTTCTGCACATGTAAATCTTTTGTGACAAGGAACTTTTTCTTGTTACAGCAAAGAACACGAGCTGGACATGCCTTCATCATTGGTTTAGCAGGAAATAGACTACAGAGTGTATCAGTGTGCTTTGCAGCAACTCCAAATTATTTCCATGTGAAAATCCAGCTGCTCAGCTGTGAGCACGCTGGAGAACACTCCCTTTTGGCCAGAGTTTGTCCAAGGCCTGTGCCAGCTTTTATATCCCACTGAAACCTTGACCATACAGCATCAGTGGATTTCCATTTCTCATGCACCTCATGCAGGTGCCCCAGTGGTGGTCACTTAATCCCAGGCATTTCCAGTGAGTGTGGCATCTTCCTGGACTAAGAGACCTCCCTGTTGCTCCAGCAGAGGACATTTCCTGGGCTCAGTGTGGTCATTGGGACAGGTCCATGTCAGAACAGCACGTGGGGAGTTCCTGAGCTCTCACAAGACCAGGGTAAGAGTCACAATGACCACTCTGCCTTTGCAAAGGGCTTAGTGGGAGAGCCCCAGGAGCTTAGGAAGTGTAACTGTGTAGAACTGGTGAGAATTGGCTTGTGAGTGGAGTCATACTGACAATTTCCCTGAGATTTTGGCACACACCATGTTCTGAAAAAAGCTTTCCGTGAGCTCTCACTTAGCAGGGCTGTCTGTAGCTGTGGGCCTCTGGCTTATTCACCTGAAGGTCAGACTTGCATCTTTTGATAAATCTAAACACCGTCATTAACAAACCTGACGGATTTTCTGGGGGATAGTGATACTGCTTGCTTTAAGCTATTTTTAGGAATCTGGTTTAAGTGATCTGAATGACCTCCTTTGTTGACAACAGAGAGAATTTAGGCTCCTCATTTTGGACTATATATAAATTAGATGCTAAGAATAGCCTAAAGCAGAAGGTGAGTTCTCTCCTTCCCACCTTAAAAAAACTCCTTCCAGAAACATTCATTAGCTGTAAACACATGGTGTCGTGTCACTTAAAAATGTGGCTTCAGGACAGGGAGATTGCCAGGAAGAAGCAAAAACTCCTGTGTCTTCTCTGCTTGCTGCAGACACTTGGAAGCACAAGGGCACCTCAGATGCGTTCATATCCTCTATGTGGCTTCCTCCTGGAGATCAGGAAGGTGGCAAACACAATGACAAACAATCCCAGGATAGTCAGGCACACTGCAATGGGAGCTACTTTGCCGTTTCTATCAGGAAAACATTCTTCTTCTGAAAGGAAAAAGAGATCAGAGACTGTTACTGCAGAAACACCATACTCCTAACCTGTACATCTGTATTCCAGTAAAGTTGGCAAATACAATCCAGAAGTTCTCAAAACCTTGCTTTCTTTTGTTTTTTCTTTCTTTTTCCTGAGCTATATTTACTACACTTTTTATCTGTGGTGATTCTTATCTCAAGAAAACCATCCTTGCCCCTTCTACAGTAGCTCTGTGCTTCCCTGCAGTGGCTCTTCTCCCTCACATCTGCAGGGATTGTTTCACCACTCAGCATATGCACAGCAGGGGCTTTCTTCCCAAAAGCAGATGGGGAGCACCACAATACAAAGTGCCATCCTGAAAATAAAGAGCAAGACATCCTGCATGGTCAAAAACTGCTCCTATGTGACATCTGATTGCTTCTTCCAAGTGAAGACGATCGGGCCAGAGACAGAAACCCATAGCCCAGCACATCACTAGTGCAATAGGGATCCTTGTTACATCAGTGTTTTCTAAGGAAAATCAAATTCTAATTGTTCTCTCTATTTATTCAGAGTATTTGTGGATAATGGTGGCTTAGATTCAGAGATTAGGAAAGCCTTGGATATAGTCCAGGGAATTGCTTTAGCAGTACCTTTGCAATTTTGTTGTATATATGATGATATCAGACACAAATAATATCTTTGAAGGACCGTCTAAAGATACCACTCCAAACATACCTCTTAGCTACAGAGAGGGCAATTCCTTAGCCAGTTCCTACCCAAATTAATATTCAAATCATCCTTTGATTAAACAGAAACTTATTGCTTTAAAGTGAACTCCTAGACTGAAGTAAATTGGCAGTTTTCCTATGGAGAGACTGCACCACATGGGCCACTGACAGAAATGGAAAATTTACCCAGGAACAATGGCAGGATCAGCCTCATATTCAAAATACAAGTGTAGTCCTGGGAGTGAAGGCAGTGTCTGGGAATGACCACTAATGTGTTATCCCAGAATTGGATCAGGCCTACATCTCCCACCAGATCTACAGGAATGATCTTCCTCAAGCTCCAGGGAAAGACCTCTGTCGTGCTGCTGTGAGTGGCACCTGCAGAGCAAACTGTTCTCTAATAAGCAGGGCAGCGTGGTCAGCCAAACCCCACAGTAAATCCTAGCTCAGCAGCAAATCCAGTTTACAGCAGGATAAGAGAAAGATCCCACACCCTGTGCCCCTTCACTCCCTGGGACTGTTCTGAGGCAGGATTCAACAGCGCTGGGAGATAAAAACCTCAACTCTTACTCCATCACTCTGCTGGCACAGGTTGTAACTTGGCTTGGGCATTTCCCCCATGGGAATTTTATACTGTCAGTGGGCAATGAGCCCAGGGAACATGTGGAGTCCATGACATCATGTCACAACTCCAGAGCCTCCACATGGCTCTTCCCAAAGGCTGATCCTCTTCTGCTCTAATCCAGATGGTGATGCAATGCCACAAAGCCAGCAGCATGAGCATTCTATTAGTGGCTGCCTTTTAAAAGTTCTGTCTGGTTAATGTAACCTGCTGTTAAATGAGCTGAAAAGTATTTGCATCTAAGTGTTGTAAAATCCAGAGATCTTTGAATTGGCCATTTTGCTTTGATGAAACATTGGGAATGAAGGAATGAACTCCATGAACTCTAGAAATTGTTTCTGATACAATGAAGTACACAAGGCTCTTTTACAGATTTCCAGACTCAAACAGATCAAGCTACTGATATAACACTGCTGTAATCTGTACAAAATTGTAAGGAACTTGAAACCAGTGACCATTAATGTTTTCTTTTTCTTCTCCATTTAAAGATAAGCAAATCAGGAGCAACAGAAGTGAAACTATTAGTCTCGAGAGACCAAGGGGAGGAGGCTTTTGATGTGTTTAGTCATTCCTTCACTGGGGATTTTCTCTTTCAGAATCTGCACACGCAGCCAATACACAACAGTTTCATGACTATTTTATAGCCACAGGGGAATTATTTCAGAGGTGGGGGCTGCTTTCTTAGCTCTCCGATTAAGAGCAAAACTAATTTAAATTTGTATATGGTATTGACTCGCAGAGATTAGTCTGACTTGGAGAGAGAGAGAGAGAGGGAGAAACAGAGAGCATCTTTCTCAGCTTAGTCTCTCCTAGAGGTGAGACCATACTTAATCCCATTAGTAATATCATCCATTGTACACATTTGAATGGGAATGCAGGGACCAGATGGGATCCCATGAGTTCTTCCAGCTCATTGTTATTCCATGAAAAAACTCTCCACAGAACGAGAGCATAGATGGGATTCTCAGTGTGGAGAAGGACCATGTCTTTAAAAAGCCCCAAATGTTGTTACACATTATATTCATTTTAAAATAGAAAAAGTAACCAAAATGGTGACCTAACAGAAGAAGAATTGGTTAAATAAAGCCAATCTGAGTCAGAAGACAGATATAAGGTAAAAAGAAGAATATAGGGACAATATTTTGTAAACATACAGAAAGACAAATAGCAGAAAAGAGAATGTTTTATTGCTGCATTGGAAGGGCTGGAGAGCTGGTCAGGCCCTCTGTGCACCCGAGTTCTTCTATGGAAATGCCCTGAGAGGAAGCCTCAGAAATGAGAAAATGGACAACTTAAAAGAGACCACAAGGTCCCACTGAATCTCCCTCTCTGGTCTTTGTCTTTTACTGAGATACCTGATTGCCTCTTTGTGGCACTTCTCCAAGACAAACTGAATAGATGAGCATCATGTTTAATTCTGAAGCTGGGAGTGGGCCAGTTGTGCTTCTCCTCAGGAGCACATTTTATCATGTCTAGACACAGCTGCTCTGAAAATATCATCCTGCATTCACAAGTATCCCTTATTAGCTGGCAGTTTTGCTGCTGAAGCTGAGTGAGTATCAGGAGCCTTTTAGAATAGCTAAAATCTGGCTATATTGAGAACAGTGACCTGGAAATGAACTTTGCACGTTGGGGTTTGGGCAGTGCACTGGTGCCGAACATACCTCTGCTTGTTCCAGGAGAAAATGAATGAAGAAGAAAACTGCAGCTGTAGAGCTGAACATTTTTAATGAGAAGGTGAAATAGAAGGTACTGAATGTAGGGGGGAAAGAATTTTTCCATCCTCCATAGGTATTAGCACTGTGTTGGAAATGACTCAGGAAAGGTTGAGAAAACAGCAGTGGGATGTGTATGGGTGCAATTTAGCAGATTACATCCATGAGGCCACCAGAGTGCTGTAGATCTGGGAAGGGTGGAAAATGTCCTTCTACTCACCTTTTCCAAACTGATCACCCACAATGTCAAACGCCTGCAGCTGCATATGAACAAAGAGGATCTGGAAGTTCTTCTCCAAGACAAAGATTTGCCTGCTGGCACACTTAAAGGAATTCCCCAGCGTTGTTGTGAACAGCTTCTCATTTAGGGCTGCATAGTAAAGCATACCTGGAGGCCAGAAAAAGAAAGATGAGAATCCACACTGACTCCATCAGAACCAACATCTTCCTGAGGTAAAATAGTCCCAGAGGTGACTAAAGTATGGACATTTTCTCCATAAACTATCACTTATTCTTCTGACAGTTTAAGTGAGTGCTTTAACTATCAACAGACAACTCAGCTGAGCTTAGGTCTGAAAAAGTGGTTAAAATTTCAGATGCTCCTTCAAATCACATTTTAACAAATTGAGTCTGCAAGAGGGGGTTAGAATTCTCACAGGAGCAGGCAAGGTTTGAAGTAATCTCTATTCTGAAAGAGTGGGGAAGGGAAAGCTTTTGAGATCAAAAAGAAAATGTAATAAGAGTGATGTAACTGCAGTCAGGCCCATTCTCTTCCATTTTTATGCCATAAGATTTAGGTGAATGACACATTGATAAAACACATATTTGCAAAATCCAGTGTTTTAAAGATCTGAAAGCTTATCCCACACCCAGAACAGTTTGATATGAAATTAAGACAGAGTAAAATCACTGACCTTCAAAAGATAACTGTATTCTGCTCTCAATTTTAGTGACAGAGTAACTTGGAGCTTGCTGCAAAAGAAGATGTATCTTTATTTATAATACATGCTTATACTTGCAGGAGAAAGAAACACAGTTTACTTCAGCAAAATGGTCATAAAGAATTTCCCAAAGAATCACTGTGTAAAGCATCACCTTTGAGACCCAAGAACCAACTCTGTTGGATGAATTTTTCTTTTCTGAATCTCAGCTGCATCACCAGTTCTGTTCAGTTCAAAGAAATGGGACCATGCAGGTGTCATTTTACACAAACTGCTCAAGCTGGGCACTCATGAGATACTTGTGATAAGCAATAGTAGGAAGATTGCTGACATAGAAAGTACCTGGCACAACAGCACAGAACAAAATTTCCAGCCAGGTGTTCTGCCCGCATGTGCCTTGAAACCCTGGTGCAGCCTGGACACTGCTCTCCCCTGGAGTGTCACAGGGCAAGACCCAGCCCTGGGAGCTTCTCCCTGGTAGCAATGTTGGAGTTGCTACCCAGCTTAATTCCGGCTGTGAGCACACAGGGATTCATGAGTGCAGCTGGTGGATAAATGGTAGTAGATATGAATGGCTCCTGGGCACTTGTAGGATGGAGTGGGAAAACTGAAGGAAGAAATACATCAGAGAAGAGGTTCTCAGCATCATTCCAACTTAAAGACATAAATATGACCATTTTTGGGTGGCAGCACTTTGTTCTGTCTGGCCACAGTTAAAAACTTTGCCTGGGGAAAACACCTGCTCCTACTTCACATCTTGTGTGTTGGTTACACAACTTCCTTTTTTCAAGCCCTTCACAGAGGCCACTGGAGTGGCAGTGCTGAACCATCCCTTCTCCTGTGCCACCCCAGCCCTGGGCTGGAGCCAGCTTCTCTCCCACCAGGGACAGCCACAAGTGCCACTGCTGGAGCACTCCTGCTTCAAAGCACTGAGCGAAGTTGTAGAGACCAAACACAAAAAGCCAGCAGCAAACTGTTTTCTTATTAACTTGAATTTCAAAGCAGTCCAAGCTGAGCCCTGCTATGCACTTGAGGCTTATCTTTAAGTGGAGGGTGCATTGTCTAATGCCATGCCAAAACCCACCTTTTTCAGGGCAAGGCAGGTCAAGCACCTCCTAAAGGTTCACATCACTCTCCTTAGCACTGCTGCAACCTGGGGGCTTTCATGGGTACTTGATTCCCCAGCCTTTCCCTAAGGATTCTTGTAACACCAAAAATGCTCCTCTTGTTGCAGGAAGCACCCATTTAAAACAAACACTCAAGAATCTGAACTGAGCCTTTGTTTTGAAAGAGCTCCTTCATTGTTTACCTTACTTTTCCTCTGCAGCTCATAAAAAACTTTTAGCCATAAGCTAAAATAAAAATGACTACTAATAGAAATATTTTCTCTGTTCAAGAATTAATGAAACATGCGGGGTATAATTTGCTGTTCCCTCTTGGACTTTCTGTGAAAATGACTGATTAACCATTTGTACTTTTCTTAATTGTCTTTAATTTGAGCTTGGAACTAGGCTGTAAGACTGACATTTAGCTTGATTAATTGAAGGACACAGATCAGCATTGCTGGCCAGATACAGCTCTCAACTGCTGTGGAGCTCCAGGACATGGCCTTGATGTTCATTACACCTGCCAGAGTTTGATGAGATCCAACCCAGGCCGTGTTCTGCCCATTCCTCCATGCCCATTAATGACTTCATACACAGTGTTAGTTCTATTTTACCTCTGTTGGCATCATCACCCAGCCCTTACAGCTTTCAGGTAAATGGTGCTGCATCCCAAAATGTCCAAATGCCTGATTTAGCAAGAGGATGGCTGCACTCTGGGATTTTCTCCTATGCTTATAAAAGCTGCAGCACTCTTGGTAGCTTGTGTTAAAGTCATACCTACATGTGATGTGATCTCAATGGAGAACATGGAATTAATAGCTACAATGTCAAAACCAGAGCTCAGTTTCCCACTGTGTAAGCAGGATCTCTTGTCTTGCCCAAGTTTCTGTGTGTGTTTATACGTCTCCCTGGTGTGGTGCATTTTAAAGCCATTTATCTACAATTGTGTTGTTTCAGTTCATATCTTTAGAATTTTCCACTCAGAAATTAGATGAAATTTGACTCCTTCAGCTGTGGATGGCTCCTGGGCACTTAAAACTGCACAGGCTGTCCTTTGAATTTGACAACCCTAGCTGGCTTTTAGGGGACACAAATGGCTGAGAGCAACTTGACAGTGAAAGCCAGAGCTCCCAGCACACCTTGTTCCTGCACAGGGACTCCAGTCCCAAACCCTTTCCCTCTGCACCACTCTGATGCAAACAGCAAACCTGACCTGCCCTCCCATGAGACTTTTACCTATATAAAAAAGAGACACACATTTTGCTTGGCTATTCCTAGGCTTTGTGTTGCTTGATGGGTAGCTTTAACACTGCACTTTCTGTCAGAGGATGGCAGAGTACTGTGCTTACCCTCCACTTCCAAATTGTAAGTTCAAACAGAGCTGATTTAACACCGAAGTTAGTTGTACTGCAAGCATGACATTGCACCAGGCAGCCTTCAGAGGTATTTTCCAATCTGAGTTAATTAAACCATGGTTCTATGGTTCTAACCCTTTGGGAAGAACAGGAGTAACCATGCCTTACATACAGCTGGAAAACAAGGCCAGAGATAGATAAAATGCCTTTTCCCACAACTCAAGCTAGATCAAAGGCAGCCTAAGTTCTTTCTTTCCAGTCCTAAACACTCCTTCCCTCTAAATGCAACAATTACCTTTACAAAGGTGATGTTTACAAATCCTCCACTAAAAGTTAAGCTCAGCTCAGACTGCACCATCCCACAGCTTCCAGATATCTTTGTCGCATTGGGGTTGACTGTCAGATATTCCATCTGCTCCTGTAGAGAAAAGAGACATTGCAGGGCTGCTGATGAATGAAAGCAAACATGCAGAGATTTAATAACTTTAAAACATGCAGAGATTTGCCCTTTTTTTTTACCCCCAAACAGGCTCTGTGTGGCTGAATGAATAGGCTAGTGGTGATGGCAGCCAAACTGCTGCCTGTCAGGGTTGTTGCTCACTTATAAACCAGCACTGGTGGTTGTCTGACACATCACTGAGCTGTTTCAGTGCATTAAGCTGGCAGAAAATACTTGGTTTCTGTTCATTCAGTGAACTGATATGATTCAGGTAGAGTCAGGTAAGTACGAGTGCTAATGTACAAAGAGGGAATACCTTGTATTATTATCAACATCTCACTATGGTCTGGTGAGGTTGGGAATCCTGCTCCCTTCCTGGCTTCTGCCAGGACAGGGGATGAAAATTACCAACATTAGTCACTCTGATGGCTTGAGCATAAGAACCCCAGAGCCTGAGGATGTAGCTCCATATGGTGTATTAATGGAGGCAACAAAACCTTAAGCCTGAGGGACACAATTGCCATTTCAGGTTGTATGGCATCTTTTGCTGAATCATTCTCAGTGGATCACTTCTAGGGGAGAGGAACAGCTCTTCAGGACCTGATAGTTCCCATGATCCTAAAATGTCCATACATGATCATCAGGACAACCCACCTGAAAATCCAAGTCTGTGACCTGGCAATTTCTTGCTTTCATTGCAACTCACAATGTCAAGCTCTTATCTGAAGTCAGTTCAGATTTTAACTAACCTCCCATTCTGGGAAGCACAAATAATTTTAACTAACCTCCTGTTCTGGGAAGCACCCTACAGGCTGATCCCCTGCCCCAGCTTTGCTCCTACACAAATATCACTGAAGTAAGAAAGCGCCTTTACGTCCCCTTGCCATCATCACCACTCAGGCCAAAGTACAGCAGCTGGGATGCTGTGGCACATGAGGGACCTTAGACTGGCAGCAAACCACTTATTTTGATGATAATTCTGAAAATGGCTTGGAAAGAGGAAGAATAACCTCCAGATAATGAATGAAGTCACTACAAAGCTCAGCTTCCACCTCACCTGTTCTGTGTTTCGGGCCATCAGCTGCAGACCCATGACGGCTTTGACGCAGGTCCTGTTCCCATCGGAAACGGTGTAGGTGCCTGTGGGGATGGCAGAGGGCCGCGGGGTGGGAGAGGGTCTCGCTGTGCTGGCTGGGGACGTGGGGGCTGTTTGTGTCCCTGCATGGGCGGTTGTTGTGTTGGTCACGGCCATGGCTGTTGGACAACCAGTGGCTGTTGTTTGGTTCCGCGACCGAGTGCTGGGCCCGGCCCTGTGCGTGCTGGTGGCTGCCAGGACAGTGGTGGCACCTTCCCCCTGGGTACTCACTGTCCTGTGCTTCAGGGACGTGTTGGTGGCCACCGCTGCAGCTCCTGCAGTCACGAGTGGTCCCTTGCCATGCCTGGTGGAGGACACACGGGGACTGGTTGTGTTCTTCACTGCAGCTGTCAGCGAGGGCGTCGCCGGGGCCGTGGCCTGGCCGGCCGTGCCGGGGCTGTCCGCGGGGGCCGTGGATGCGGTGCCTGCTCCTGCTCCTGCCGTGAGCCCACCTGCAGCCGATGCTGCCTGGAGCTGCTCCGCTGTCTGCACAGTTGTTCTGTGGCTCATGGATGTTTTTTGAAGAGGGCCTGTGCTGGGAAAAGGAGCTGTGGTGCTTTGATGTGGTGAAGAACGATAAAGGGAAAGTGGCTGAGCAGAAGTAGCCATTTGGTGGAAGGATGTGGCTTCTGGAGACAGTTCAACCCCCAGGGCCACTTCAGCAAAGCAGGAGGAAAATGCTGTAAGGAAACTAAAGTCAGTAGTCTAGAAACCTTTACATTTCACTTTTATGTTGATAACCACAATATGCTTGCACTGCCTTTGTTATCAAGTGGGTGATACAATTTCACTCTTCATTTGGCTCCAGTCATGACAGGAGAGCGAAGGCAGACACCCTGTAGGACTATCCACAGCTAGGCACCACTCCCCCAAGCTGCACACCTCTGAGTATTCCCATTCCAGGGGAGCACACTGGCTCCCAGCTCTCCACACACTGAGGAACCAGACCTTGCACAATCCCCAGGCAGCACAAGAATTCTCTGCAGGAGGTAATTCAGCAGGATTTGCTGGAAGCAAATTGTCAAGGTCTAAGGAAGATGAAGTGGGTGTAGCAGCCAAAGGGGTTGTTGGTTTCTTACCAACTAAGTGTAGGGAAAGGGGATGTGTCTGTGTGTGTGAAGGAAGTGAGGCAGTGCAGTGGTCTTACAGTGATTCACAGGTCTGGGAAACCAATCTGGGGACAGGGAAATTCCAGGTATTTATTTTGTTGAAGATATGTCAGCTTGAATCCTGGAGTTCTTCCTTCTGGAAGAACCCAAAGAAAGGCCATCCCCCTAAGTGATGGGCTTTCAGAAATGAGAAAAAAAAAAATCAGGGTGCAGCATCCAGGAGCATTTTGGACCACATCAGGAAATAGTTTCAGCACCAAAATTATGCTTCCATCTAATAACATTTATAGAAATGTGTCCCTTGGAGAAGTGAAAAAAAATATCTGGCTCCTAAATGTAAATACAGAAGTGAACAAAAAGTGGGAAAGTACAGTGTAGAATATTTGAATGTCACAACTCTTCTGCTTGAGTCTTTGTGAGTGTGCAACAAGACTCTGGAATGAAAAGGTCGAGTTAAAGAAATAAATCACTGATGTACGTGAATTCTTTGATGTGCATAAAGGTATAGGTGTAGTTAAATGTTTTCTGGCCTAAATTAGGAGGAGGACAGAGATAAATTCTCCAGTTTGGAGACAGAAGGAACCCAAAAGTCCAAGATAGCTCATATTCCCAGCAGTACAGCTCCACAGAGAATGCCTCAACATGTTTGAGTTCACTGTACACTAGTTCTTTCAAAGAAATTTCTCATGAATCAGTGTCAAAGTTGATGGCAGGCAGGCTGCTGAGATTAGAATTTTAGGATAGATTAATGCCAGAGGCACATTTAGAGTGCAAATGGCTGAAATCTCACAAGTTCTTCTCTTTATTAATTTATTTATTGTCACTCATCATGAACAGAGATCTTCAATCATAGCTGAATTCACAAAATCTAAGCATTTTTGGATACATATAAACTAAGTAAGAATAATGAAACTTACTGTGTTTTTAATAAAATTCAAGATAAAAATCAAAGAAACAACAGCAGAGGCACAGATCATAACCCTTACCACAATTTTCCCTTAAAAATGGCTATGCTGGAGAAGAGCAGAAATGTAGATGTAAATACTCCATACTCCTAAAATTGCCTGAGTTTCACTCTGAGCTGTGCAGAACACACCTGACTGCCACGTTAGGTGTTACCATCAAAAGGCAACTTGATACAGTTGAAAAAGCTCAAAAATATTGTGATTTTTCTCAAAATGAACCTAAAAATGCATAATTCATATGATATTTTAGTTAATTTTCTCTCTTTCCCTTATGCTTTACCACAGCTGATTTAGAGCTGTTAAGGAGATGACTGATCTCCTTCTGTGGGGCCAGGGGGAAGCCAGAGCAGTTGCCATACATCAGTTATGGGTAGCTGCATCCAAGTGTATCAGCATGATAAAAACAAGAAAGAAGAAGTTGCAATTTTCACTCTTTCTTCCCCTCTAAGACTGTGAAACAATCTATATTTAAATTTGCACGAGTCCTAAATTGTATGTACATGTTAGTTTTCAGTTCACAGATGGGTTTTGATTACTGACCAGGTAACACAGATGTAGAAGGAAATATTATTGAAGTGACATTAGAATGCCACCCACAGCTTTTAAATAAAACTCTTCAAAAGGTTATTTCAACCCAATTATTTTTCATTATTCAGTCAGACAGGATGATCTGAGGGGTAAAGCTAGAAATGTCTTTGGAATGGCCCATGGCTCTTGCTCACTGGGTGACTACCAGACTGTTTCTCCAGGCATTTTGGGGCTTCTGCCAGTGCATGATGGCCACACTGCTAAATCCATGGGCTTGGACTGTCATCCCAAAAGGCACTTGGCCACATCAGCTCCCAGGGATGGGCAGGGATCACTCTCCAGCTGCACCCATTGGCACTGGCTGTGTTTGGGTGGCTGCTGGAGGTGGTTTGGTGTTCCTGCTGTATGAAGGGGCAGATGGACCCATGGGGTCCCTGACCTACCCTCCAGCTGAGGCTGGGAAGGCTTCCATGGCTCCTTAGCATGGCCACACTCCTCTCTGGGAGCCTGGCACAGCTCAGAAAGCAGCCATGAGCATGACTCCCCCAGCACAGCCTTTTGTGGCTCTACCAGCAGAACAAGCCACAGAAACATGAGGAGTGGCAGCTCTGCACCCCCCAGTAGTTTCCTTTTTTTTTTTTTTTTTTTTTGTTTTCTCCCATAAAGCCAGCTCAAAAACTTCATACAAGCAACATTTTCTTGAGGGATGCAAGTGCCCTGGAGCAAGTAGCTGCAGTCCTCTTGTCTCACTTCAGCACCAAAATTGTGTGTTACAGATGCTGAGGGCTGTGTGAGAGCCCTGACAGCCTCCTTGCAATGCTCCAGAAAAAAACTCCCAGAAATGGACCAGCACAGTTCTCAGAAATCCACTGTTCCCAGTCTGGGCCTGGAGATCCCTTTTTCATGCTCTGGTGACAAGTTTTTGGGCACAAGGAACATCACTGCTTGGCTCCCAGGTCTTACAGTGGGAAGCTGAGTGCTCAGTGCCATGGCCTGGCTGAGCCATTTCTCAGCCTGTGCTGGGGTGTGTGATAGAAACTCATCCCCTTTTCATCTAACACTCATCTGCCCAGCTGCCCAGCAGTTTTGTTCTGTACTAATTATGTTTCATTCCCTGTCTGCATGGAAAGAATTGACTTTACGACATTAATAAAACATCACAAATAATTATTAAAGGAAAGATCAAAATCGGGTAAAGAACAGAGGAAACAAGTTCTTTCTGGTCAAAAGTGATTGCTGACCACTGAATTATTAGTGTTGCTTCTCAGTCTGATCTTGCTCTCCCTTTCATCTCTAGGTTTTGGGGCTATTTCAGCAGATTTTGGCTATGAAGCAGGCTTGGGAAAGCAGAGAGATACAGCAGGAACCACTCATGGTTGAGTCCCTGGGTACTTTCCCTGCCCATGGACTGGGAGGGGGACAGGGTTGTTGTTTTTGTGATCCCCATCTGCCAAATGCAAAAACACTCTCAACAGCAAGCTCAAACTGTTGGCCACTACACAGATTAAATCACATTTTGTCCTCTTCACCAGGCAAATTTGGTGCTGCTGCAGGTGTGAAGCAGTGCCTTAAAGCACTGGGAGATGTCCTTCATGTGTATGGCTCCCCAGATTTTCACAGAGCAGCATTAAGGATCAAATGGTGGGGTCTGTCATTGAGAGAAGCCCCAGCCTGTCTTCTCCAAGCCTCTGCCTCATTCTCATTTTCCTGATCCTGCTCTGCATCTTGCAGTGCAGATAAATTAATGACTCGAGCAATGCTTCCTTAGTTTTTTTTCTTTTCTGATTGTCTCACTCAGGATTTTCAGTTAGTTCTGCTGGTCTAGAAATTCTTTTTAATTATTAATTATTTTTAATTAAGCGAAGCCAAAAATGTCTGCTTCTAACATGGCTTTGAACAGACTCCTTCACACAGAGTTTATACCACCACAAGAGTTCAAAGCAAAATACAGAGGAAAACATCACAAACAGAGTGTATACCACTACACAGTTTGATACACTAAGTGTATACCAGCTGCAATTAACAGCAGGCACGGTTATTCCTTAGCAGCGGGACTTTACTGAAAGCACCCTTAGTGTTAGCAACAAAACTGCCCAAAGTTTTGAGTCTGTTGGGTGCTGTCCCGACTGCAAGGAAACCAAACTGACACAATGTCTTGTTTTTCAGGTAGAAATGATGCTGTAACTCACCACAGGCGAGGGTCAGCGAGATGAGCTGCCGTGCGCTCCTCCCCATGGCCAGCACGGCTGCGGCTGTGAGAGGCGCAGCTTCTCCCCGGAGCGGGTGCGGAGCAAACCGAGCTTTCCTGCGGGCTCCAGAGTTTCGCTTGATGCAGGGAGTGCTCAGTCACATGGCTGGGAAGGAGGTGGAGAGAATCGGGGAGACCGGTCCCTCTCGTCTGCAAACTCACGCAGAAGGAAATAAATGATGGTTAGGAAAGAAAGTGAAAAGAGAAATGACTGCTGGGCTGACTGGGAGGAGACCTGGGGCTCTGCGAAAGCTTCGAAAAGCTTCGTGCATCTCCCTCCCTGTCTGAGAACAGTGCCACAGCAGAGGGTTACAGCCTGTAAATCAGTGCCTTCGCTGTGTTCTTTAGAAAATGCTTTATTTAAGGCCAAACTCCATCTTTTATGTTAAGGCACAGAAGGGTGAGGTGTGACCATCTCCAAAGAGCACCTGCTAAAAGCAAGTCAGGGCTGAGCAGAGCCCCAAATGGGCTCTTGCCCTGTGGGACCATCCTGGTGCTGCTCCCAGGCCTGCTCCCATCCGAGATGGATGGGCAGGGGCTCACTGTTAGTGCTGCATCCAA